TGGAGAAGAATATTTTAAGTTTGTAGACTTCCAGAAGAACAAACAAATCTGTGTTGGAAGAAGTACAGCTAGAATGCTCCTTAGAAGTCAGAATGGTTAGATCGTGTCTCTCATATTTTGAACATATTCTCAGGAGGAACCAGCCCTTTTTTAAGGACATTATGCTTGGTAAAGTGGAAGGTCATTGGAAAAGAGGAAGACTCACAACAAGATGGATTGACACTGTGGCAGCAGCAGTGAGCTCAAGCTTATCAGCAATTGTGAGGATGGTACAGGACTGGGTCGTGTTTCATTCTGTTGTATATAGGGTCACTATGAGTAGGAACCACCTTGACGGCACCTAAAAACAACAACCACTGCCTTGATTTCTGTGAAGTGGTGCTGAAGACTGCTGACCACAAGGTAGGCAACTCAAACCCACCAGCTGTTCCTCAGGACAAAAATATGGCAGTCTGCATTTCCCCCACTTCCACTCACAAGTAGACCAGGGTGGTGTAGTTCCATGTAGTTTCAGTCTTAGAAGGGGGTTTACCTGAATGGGCTGACTTTTCTTGCCTTGATGGCTCCAAGGCAAACAGCTTATTTAATATTCTAACAGCCAAACCATCTGCTTATTTTCTGCTGGTCTTTCTTTCAAGAAATATCTTCTGTTCCTCTCATTGTTCAGGTTGATCTGCGTGTCTTTTCAGGTGGAAATGTCCCACTTCAGAAGTTTCTGGGTGGTGCTCAGGATTCTACATAAAGCCCCATACTCCACAAAGGCTTAACAAGTTCCCCTGGGCAACTCCAAATTCCCTTTTTAACTAATCAAATCAGTTATAGGCTGAAGATGTGCTTACAAGCTTTCTGTAATCATAACTCCCAATATTCATTTCTATCCCACTTAAATGTCTATTTTACAATAATAGGCAAGGGAAACCAATAGCCACAATATAGTCAAGTACCTAAACATTTTTCCCCTCCTTTACCCATTGAGACTTTGTCTCGATCCTTGTATCACAGAATGCTGTGTTTCCAAGGTTGTATATACAACCTTTTTACTTCTATCCTGTTTAGCCCCTGCCTACCTACCTAAGAGTCCTGATGTGGTGTTGTAAGATAATGCACTGTACTGCAAAGTTGGTTTGAACTACAAGGTCAGTGGTTCAAACTCACTAGCTGCTCCTTGGAAACCTTATACGAGGTTGCTATGAGTCAGAACAGACTCAACAGCACTTAACAAAACCAAAGACTTACCTCCTTAAGTCTTCCCCTATATTTATTGTTCATCTGCCATCCTCCCATTTCTTGTGTATTGCCCTCCCCCTCCCTGTCACCCAAGCTAATGTGTGTCTACCCACTAACCTGTGAATTATTCTCCCCTCCATCCCACTCCTGGTGACCATCAAAGAATGTTTCTTTTAGTATTGAAATCTTTTCTTAAGCTTTTATAATAATGGTCTTGTGTAATATTTGCCCTTTTGTGATTGACTAATTCCATTCAACATAATGTCCTCATGGTTCATTTATGTTATGAGGTGTTTTGCAGATTCATCATTATTCAAGTTGTATAGTAGTCATTGTGTGTATGTACTAAAGTTTGTTTATCCATTCTTCCATTCATAGGCACTTGGCTGTCTTGATCTTTTGCTATTGTGAATAGCGCTGCAATTTCTGAGGAAGTGCCATACCATTTTCCAGAGTGGTTGAACCATTTTACAGTCCCAGTCCCTCCAAACTCTCACCAGCATTTGTTGCTTTCTGTTTGCTTGTTTTTTAACTTGGCTGTTAATGCTGGTAAGAGATAGTATCTCATTGTCTTGATTTGCATCTCTCTAATGGAGTCAGTGGTGTGGCACTGCGGGATAATGCACTGGACCACAAGATCGGTTTGAACCGCAAGGTTGGTAGTTCACATTTACCAGCTGCTCCGCGGAAACCCTGTACAGGGTCACTATGAAGTGGAAAACACTTGACAGCACTTAATAACAATGGTTAATGATTGTGACCATTTCTTCATATGTTTGTTGGCTGCCTGAATGTCTTACTTGGTGAAGTGTCTGTTCATGTCCTGTGCCCATTTTTTAATTAGGTTGTAGATTAGTTTTGTTTATTTTTGAACTTAAGTGGAATTTTACAGTATGTATTCCTTTTGTTCTTTCTCACTGCGGTGTAGTACTCAACTGTGGGAATGTGCTTTATCCATATGCTACTGCTGACAAGAATTTGGGTGGTTTCCAGTTTGGAGCAGCTATTATAAATAATGCTGATATCAACACTCATAGATGTCTTTTGGTGAACGTATATCCACCTTCATTTGATAATATGAATCTGTATATGCTGAAGACTGGAATTGGTGGGTCCTATGATTAGCCCACCCTCACCAGCAGCAGCACAATAACGCTCCAGCTGTTCAGTGTTCTCATTGACACTTGGTACCATCTGTCTTTCTCATGTTAGCTAGCCATTGCGGTGAGTGTGTATTAGTCAGACCTGCATTTTAATTCTCAGTATTGTTTCTATTTCTTTGATTCGTCAGTCTATTTCATATAAAATAGTTTCCTTTTTGCTACGACAGCTATTTTTTTAAGAAACACAAATAGTTTTTAATTCCCTTCAGTACTGCAGATATTAGAAGTAGAAAAATGTCATCTGCCTTTTAATATTGTGCTAACAGAAGAATTAAAATATAGAAAGTTGCTATTCTTCCTAATGATAAAAGATAATCCACAAAAATGCCTTAGCATGATGTCAGTATCCCACATTAACTTGCAAAGTATATCTGAACTATGCTATTGTTAAATCCTGTCACATCAGTTCCAACCTAACCTTGCAGTTCAAACCGACCTTGTGGTCCAGCACTTATCCTACAGTGCCACACTGGAACTCCAAAAGTACTCTGTAGTTGATCAGTTTGTGACATATATAAAAGGCAGTTATTGAAAATTCACTTATACATAATCTAGGGTTGCCTTCAAAGCTGAAGGCCCAAAAGGTTCATAAGGAAAATGGTCAAAGCCAGTGCTATTGATTTAAAAACATTTTCTTTAAAAAAAAAAAAAAAAGTTTCCCTAACTACTGCAAAGAGCTGTGGTAGCACAGTGGTTACTAATCGGGCTGCGAACCTCAGGGTCAGCAGTTCGAAACTACCAGCTGTTCTGCTGGAGAAAGATGAGGATTTCTGCTCCTGTAAAGATTTACAGCCTTGGAAACCCTATGCAGGGTCTCTATGAGTCGGAACCAACTCCAAGGTACACAACCACTGCCACCAACTACTGCATTATTGCCTGTGGAATGGAAATAAAATGCTGAAGACAAACAACAAATTTTGAAGCAAAGATACTTCATCTGAATCTCCATTTAAATAACTAAAGGAATGAATGCACACCTATGGATTAGGTCCATCTAGCCGTGGAGCTCACATCTACTCTGATACACATGGGTACTGTGAGTTGGGGTCAGGCCAACAGCCACGGTGGTGGTGGTGGATTTATGTTTGAAATACCCACTCAGACATCTCACAAAGAGTTTTGGAATATATCCATTATATAAGACACTGAAACAGCTACTGGTGGTAATGGTGGCCCTCAAATTGGTTCTGATTTATAACAAGTGTATCTAGGATTTCCGAGTCTGCAGGGCTTTATGGGAGCAGAAAACGTCATCTTTCTCCCATGCAGTGACTTTGAACTGCTGACCTTACAACTAGCAGCCTAACATGTAATCCAATACATCACCAGGGTGACTTTCAATTAACTGCTAAGGATACAAAACCATACATACCTGCTCTCAAGGAACTTACAGTCTAAAGGAGGAGACAGATATGTCAATAAATATTATATGGTATAAAAGAGCCAGTGAAATTAGCAGGTGTCACACCCAGGATGCAGTGGTGATACAAAGGAGAAAATGGACAAGTCTGATAGATGGGATGTCTAAGGAAGACTCAGAGAGAAGAGAGGTGACTCTTGATCTGGAATTTGCCCAGTGAGCAAATACAAGGCCATATCAGCAAACGGGACTAGGCAACTAGCTCAGAGACTGCCTAGTTTATTATTTCTAGAGCTTAAGTATGAAGAAGAAGATGAGCAGCAGCGGATAATGAAGAGATGGTTAGCTAGGCAAGGATCATGAATGGCTTTAAATACTGCCCCAGACTTGAATCTGCTTTCTCCCCACTGCCTATGTTGTTGTTCAGTGCCATCGAGTCAGTTCCTACTCATAGTGACCCTGTATATAAGGTTTGTGAGGAGCGGTTGGTGAGCTTGAACCTCCAACCTTGCAGTTCAAGCCAATCTTGCAGTCCAGTGTATTAACCCACAGTGCTATTAACCCACTATTGCCTATAGAATCAGTCATTTGGTTCCATAAAAAATGGTGAGAATCCTGTGCCAGATTTTACAATACAGAGATGAGCCAATCCATTTATTCTAGCAACATATGTTCTTTGAATGCCTTACTGTTTGCCAGAATCTTATCCTTAAATACACAACAATTTCATGGGGGTAGAAAGACCTGTAAACTAAATGATTACAGTGTCAGGATAAATGTGATAATAGAAATGCATGATATCTTCTTCCCCAGAACCAGAAAATAGCAGATAGTCTTGAAATTCTGAACCTTAAGGAGTATTAAGCTGGAAACTAATAGTCATAGCTTTGTTTTAGAAAGAAATAATTCTGTTGGAGTGATTTCCAGTGAGTTCAAGCTGAAGTAGATCTTTTAAATATTTATTGACTAAATAATGCTGTCAATTTAAATAACTACTGTAAGAATGGCAAGGAATCCTGGTGTGCCACTGTAGGATAAACACTAGACTGCTAACTGCAAGGTCAGCGGTTCAAACCCACCAGTTGCTCCTCAAAAATTCTATACAGGGTTGCTATGAGTTGGAACTGACTCGACAGCACTTTACAACAAAAAGAAAGGCAAAACTTATGTTGAATCGTCTGTAATCTCTTTGGGTTCACAAGGCCCCAGAGACTGCTAGTTGTCCTAGCTTTATTGTTCTTGGTTTTCAGGTAACCAAGAATGAGCGTCAGGTGATGAAACCACTATATGACCGATACCGGCTGGTCAAGCAGATCCTGTCCCGAGCCAACACCATACCCATCATTGTGAGTATAATTCCTTTCTGTTGTTTACTACCTGGTGAATGGGTCCTGGATATATTAGTAGGCCCTAACCTACTTTCTCATTAAAGAATAGACTATCCTAGTTAAACCAACCATTGGTATCTATGGCCCACAAGCTTGAGTAATGAAGAATTTGCCCAATAGTTCTGAGACTACATTTGCCAAAAATGAACAAATCTGAAATGGAAAGAACATTTTCTCCCACTTTAGGAAACATGCGTTGGCTGTATACAACCTGCTGACTTGTATTGGACCAGTCCTCCACCCTCTCCTCAGAAACAGAGCACCAAGCAGACAAGGCTTCCTCGACTCAAAAGAATTCCTTTCTGATCAAAAGGGCCCTCTGTTGTTAAAAAATTGTCTTCTTTGCCCGTGCAAGAGAGGAATAACCTCCACATGAATCGTATTGAAGGAGTAAAGCCACTAAGATATCAAGAGATCCATATCCTCGTAGTGGATATGGAAAAGTAAAGTAGAAGAGTAGAAGGAAAGGAAGAGAAGCTAATGATTGTGAAGTTGCTCTTAGTGGCCACCATCGGCTTTAGCTAGTTTGGGGCCCCTTTATTTTTATTTTCTCAACAGTAGGCACAGCAGCCTGCCTGTAGCTCTGGGACAGCCTTTCAGGCTCTGGCCAGCTTGCTCTCATTCCTTACTGGTCTCACAGTGTCTACCTCCTAGGTTATGAGTGGGTTGTTAGCATCTTTAACATCTCTTGAGGGATTATTTGCCTCTCTTTCTTTGCCTTCTCACCAGGGGCCTTGGAACTTCCTCAGCTGGCTTTTTAGGCTTTTTGAAAAGCAGGCACAACTTCACTTTTATTGAATTACATATTCATTTTAGTGGTTGTTCTTATTGAGCCCTTATCTTGTTTATAAATATGGTCTTTATATTTCTTATGATAGTGTTCATGTTCATATGAATGAGGGAGAGTCTAGGTACCTCAAGCAAGTGTATTTGGAGAAAGGAACTCTTCTGAAAACGTCCTACAGAAAAAAATTAATAAGTAAACTAGCAAATAAAAGGATTAAATAAGGAATCCTTTGCATTCTCCAACTAGGAGCCCTTAGTATCCTTAAATAAGTAGCCCTAGTGGCATAGCGGTTTGCACATTGGGCTGCTAACCACAAAGTTGGTGATGCAAATGTTCTGCAAGAGAAAGATGAGGCTGTCTGCACACATAAAGATTTAGTCTCAGAATTCCTAAGCTCTACCGTGCCCTATAGGGTTGGGTCACTGTGAGTCTGAATCCACTGATGACAATGGGTTTGATTTTTTGTTGTTGTTGATGGTGGTTTAAGCACTCGACTGTTAACCAAAAGGCCAGTGGTTCAAATCCCCGAGTGTTCTATGATAGAAAGATGTGGCAGTTTGGTTCCCTAAAGACTTACAGCCTTGGGAAGCCCGTGGACAGTTGTACTCTGCTCTATAGGGTCACTGTGGGACAGAATCGCCTCAAAGGCATTTGGTTTGATTTCATGCTCTTAAATAGGGTAAATGGACAACAGAGAAATCCCGCATGCTTGATCAGTTTACATTATTCTCAGTTTATCCTAAGGTGTTCTCGTAGCTATTTATGTTGTTGCTGTTAAGTGCCATCAAATCGATTCCGTCTCATAGCATAGTGACCCTGTATAGGGTTTCTAAAGAGCGGCTGATGAGCTTGAACCGCCAACCTTGCTGTTCGAACCGACCTTGCAGTCCAGTGCATTAAACCACAGTGCCACATTGTAGAGGAAAGTGGATGGAAAGCCAGGTGTTTTTCTTTACGGTTTGTTAAAGTACTAACATGACATTCTTGTGGTAATGCATCCTCATTGGTTTCCATGTGGGGCTTGGGAATGAAGCAGGAACTGAATTTCAGTTTGAGTTAAAAGATGGTATGTAGTACTGACTAGGCTAGAGAAGACAGAAAGAGCTGAGGGACAAGGAAAGGGATTCGCAATGTAACCTACTTGTCAATGCCTGATGCAGGGCTCTCCCTCCAGCAAGAGGAGAAGTCCTTTGCTGCAGCCAATCATCGAGGGCGAAACAGCATCCTTCATCAAGGAGATAAAGGTAAAGAACTTCAACTGCTAACCCTTTGCTAAATCTGCTGTCAGTTTCTCCCTCCTTCCCTCTCTCTGTTCCTCCTGTAAATGAAAAGAGCTTGTCATTGGGTCCTTTGGTGATGGCATAGCGTCTTGTAGTGTTTCTTCAAGATCAGTAGCTACATAAAACCAACTTTGAATAATCCCCTATTGATATTTAAACTAGCTGATTTTCTTATTTTCATTCCTCCCTCTTTTCGGTCTTTTTTTTTTTTTTTTGCTTCAGAGATCATTATTTTGTTTCATTTGCTTTTTGTTCACAATGATTTTTATAATTAACCCATTTGGAAAATGGATTATCTTTATTCCAAAATTTGGTTAAGCTAGCTCATTGGGAAACTTTTAAAAAATTGTATTTATTGAATTTATAGAAAAATCCAAATTAACAAAAGCAGTGTGGTTGTATGTGTATGTGTGTGTGGGAGAGAAGGTGGTGCAATTGTTAAGCATTCAGCTGTAACCAAATGGTCAGCAGTTCAAATCCAACAGCTACTCCACTGGTGATGTAGCAGTCAGCTCCCATAAACATTTGTACCCTTGGTGGAGACCCTCCCAGGCAGTTCTACTCTATCCTACTATAGAGTTGGAATTGACTTGACAGTAACAGATATGTGTGTGTGCGTGAGAGGACGTAAAAAGTTCATGGAAAAACAGTATTAAAAGATACTGGAGTTTTTTTTTTCCACAAACTTTTTGAAGTCTCTTAGTATATATTGCAGGTATACACAGAGAGAGACACACACTCAAAATGATAAAGTATCATTTTATAGACAGATATTTTAGTTTTCTGTGACACATTTGGAGTCCTGGTGTGGCGCTGTAGGGTAAGCACTAGACCGCAAAATCAGTTTGAACCTCAAGGTTGACGGCTCAAAATCACCAGCCGCCCCTTGGAAACCCTATATAGGGTTACTATGAGTGGGAACCGGCTTGATGGCACTTAACAACAACAACTGACACATTTGTTAGTGAATTTTCACCTGTTCTTCCTCAATCATACTTTTCTCTAGCACATTTACTCCTCAGTCCTAGTTTGTCACTGAATGATAAGCACTGGACTGCTAACCACAAGGTTGATGGTTCAAAGCCACCAGACACTCCTTGGAGACTCTATTCAGGGTCACTATGAGCTACCACGAGGTTGTCTATTCAAACCCACCAGCTACTTCTTAGAAACCCTATTAAGGGTCACTGTGAGTCAGAACTGACTTGACGGCACTTCACAATAACGACAACTAATTTTATAAGCTCCTCTTCACCTGTGACTGTTATGCTATGAGCAGCAGGCTACAGAATATATGCTCTGATTTCTTTTTCATCAGGAATTAAGGATTTTGTAGAGCTAATGCCTCCAACCAGTGGCTGCTTTTGATAGGATGGGATGTGTAATCTGTGGCCATAGATCAGAGTGATTCTCTAGGGTCCTAATTGGCCTATTCTAGGACCATGTTTTTGTCTCAAACACCAAACAAACTGGACTGCCTTATACAGGACTCCAGAGATGAAACATCAGTCAGTCACTGTTCTGAAATCTGTGATTTGTTTTTTTAGCAATTGTTGAAAGTCATAAGGGGGCAGTTAAACTCAAAGTACGAGTGAGTTTGAGATGTTTTGCTTGTTAACTCTTCTCTGATAATTCTAAATTGGCTGGGTGGCTATTTGCTATAGTTAAGAATGATTATTTCAGACTGTGGGGCCTCTCTCCTATTGAGGGACATCAGCTGAAAACTCCGTTTTCTTGTCTGATTCTCATCATTATAACTGAGGTAAGCTTCCATGTACTACAAAATCTTTATTCTTTTTCTTGTTGTTAAGTGCCTTCCAGTCTGTTCTGACTTATAGTGATCCTGTATAGGGTCACTGTATAGGGTTTCCAAGGAGCGACTGGTAGCTTTGAACCACCATCTTTGTGGTTAGCAGTCCAGTGCTTATCCTACAGCACCGCACCAACCATTTAAAATATTTTATGGTAGTGGTGGTCGTGGTTATATACCGTGGAGTCAGTTTCAACTCACAGCAATCCTACCAAGGGTTTATGAGACTGTAAAACTTTAGGAAGCAGAAAACCTCATCTTTCTCCCATGGAGCAGATGTTAGATTCAGAATGCTAACTTGGAGGGTCCAGCCTAGCTACCCTACCATAGCTTCTTAAATACTCCATATGCCTTATTTTAAGGAGCTCTAGTAGAGTACTGGTTACCCATTGGGCTGCTAACCGAAAGGTCAGCAGTTCACAAGAGAAAGATGAGACTTCCTCCTCTGACAAAGATGTACAGCCTTGGGAAGACTATACAGGATCATTGTGATTTAGGACTGACTCGGTGGCACACTACCACCACCTTGACTTATTTTGCTAGAATCTAGTTACTGGGCACTGGGGGGCCAGGTCCCTGTGTGCAGCTTGTGACCTTGGTTCAGGATAGGCCTTCCTTAAGGGTGGTTTCGAGCCCACCTGCCCCTCCTCCAAGAGCATGATGGAGGAAGGGCCTGGCTCCCCCTGCTGGCCTCCTTCTGGTCTTGACCCTTCTCCCCACCTGAATTCTTCAGGTGTGGGTACTCTGTAGGACGTAGCAAAAAGCAAATTCCACAACCCCATCCAACCTTACGGAGCACTGTAGCTCTGTAGTCTAAGCTGAGAACCACAAGGTAGGCAGTTGGAGCCACCAGCCACTCTACAGGAGAAAGATTAAGTTTACAACTCCCGCATAGATGTACAGCCTCAGAAACACTATACAGGATTGCTGTCAGTTGGAACCAACTCTGACATTTAACAACAACATCAACACTGTAGATTATTTTTTTAAAGAGCATGTTTTATGGAAATGCTTTAAACTTTGGACCAATGTACTATGTTGTGTCTCAAAATGTTTCTCACAATAGTCCTTGACATTCTGAAAGAAGACAAATTGTGTTTAGTTATTTTACACAAAAACAAAACCACTATGGTTTAAGAAATGCAGGCATTTGTGTGTATACAAATTAACATGTTTCTATTAGGTGCATGAGATAGAACTGTTACCAGCAAAGAAATGTATTTGTAACAGTTTAATAAAATATAATAGCTAATAATTGCCTCATTAAATGAACTGAAGATAGATACTAACAATGCTCTTTTTACAAGGAGACATTCTTCCAATTTTTATTCTTTGTATTACTTGGTTATTTCAAAAGTATATTTTGACCATTGCTTTCACACTGGACCACATATAAAGGTCAGGATGTCAGATAATTTTGCAATGATTACATTGCTTTTGTATATTGCACTGCTTTTTGGTTCACTTTGTTCCAGTTGGCCCGACTTATTAACACATATTTGGATTGTACTAATTCTTGGCAATCCTGATACAGTTCAGAATTTGGTGTGTATACAGACACAAGATTTTAAGTATTTTCCTTATAAATCATCCCTTGTTTTAGATACTTATGCAAGAGAACCAATTAAGTATTAAACAGAGCCAGATCAAGACCTAGATCTTCAACCCAAGGAAACCAAGTGATCCTTTAAGCAGATGTCCTAAGAATCCCTTCTGAAATTTCTCTGTCAGAATGGAGACATTCTCTTTAAGGAGGGATTTCATCCTCAACTTGAAATGTTGACACCACTGGAGACAGTAAGCCATTGCATGGGCTAGGTTTCAATAGTAGCTAAAAGCCTATATTATTAGTATTATAATTGTTGTTGTTGTTGTTATGTGCCGTGGAGTCGGTTCCGACTCATAGCGACCCTGTACAGGGTTTCCGAGGCTGTAAATATTATGGGAGCAGAAAGCCTCATCTTTCTCCCATGGAGCAGCTGGTAGTTTCGAACTGCTGACCTTGGGGTTCACAGCCCGATTCGTAACCTCTGTGCTACCAGAGCTGCAAATATATGAAATGCTATAAGACTTCAGGATACAAGCAGTGTGCTTATACTCTATTTTTCTCTAGAGGGAAAAATTAAGCCCATTAACTAGAGAGTAAAAAAGTTAATAGAACTATGATTAATTTATATTAATTACATTATATGTATTTATTGAGTTATTATATATTCTCTAATTGTATGCTCTCTAATGATATTCAGCTGCCTACCCTGGCTGCTCCCAACCATGCCCTATGCAAATTTCTTCCCCAAATTCTTCTTACTAGTCTTCATCATGTGCTCTGGGTTCCAAACTGTTCTCTGCTCTAGTTTCTCTGTTCTTTCCACACACCCACCAATTTATCTATCCCTTTCTTTTAAAGACTGAAATCCAAGCTGGACCTTTTCCATAAATAGTTTAAGCAGGATTGTAGACCACAAGACTAGTCCTGACCTTGATCTGGACAGCAAGACCTCTTCAGTTCTACAAGCCCATGACTCTTTGACTATCAGTGTACCTACAATAAATTCATTTTAATCAATAAGTAATGGCATCACAACCTCAGCACTGTTGACATATGAGAATGAATCATTGTCGCCATGGTGGGCTGTCTCTATGAATTGAATTGTAGGAGGCTTACCAGCATCCCTGGCCTCCTGCCTACTTGATGCCAAAATCACCACACACACACACACACACACACACACACACACCAGGTATGACAACCAAAATGTCTTCAAAGCATTGCCAAATGCCTTAAGTGGCAGTTGAGAACCACTGCTCCAGGCCCACGTGTCATTGTTTACTCATACTGTTATGGTCTTTGTGCAATCCCCAGCTTCCTTTTCCATTGTTTGCTTGTTGTCTCTGTGTCCATTTTCCTCCATTAGACTAATTATGGGGTCCTGGTGCGGCACTGTGGACTAATGCACTGGACTGCAAAGTCAGTTTGAATCACAAAGTCAGTGGTTCAAGCTCAACAATCGCTCCTTAGAAACCCTATACAGGGTTGCTATAGGCCGGATTTGACTCAATGGTACTTAACAACAACAAAGCCTAATTATAGGCTCTGACATTTTCTAATGTTTTTAAAAAATTATTTTGTAGCTGTATGTCATAGATTAAATGA